TATGGTAGCTGCCTTCTCCCGTGCAGACGACTGCAGCAGCCCAGGCACGGAGCAGCTGCAGATGCTGGAAGACAGCACTGCATTGATCTGCAGTTGGGAAGGTCATCTCAGTGATGGAAGACTGCATTTTTGTGGCTTGACTTTTTTCTTAGAAGCTAGAAGGACAATAAACTAATGACTTTATGTCACTCTTTCTAATGAAAAAGCCAAGATTTTTGCATCCTGGTTAAAATACTCAGCATAAATAACATAAATGCAAGCCAAAACCCCACCTCCTGAAAGTCATTCTGAATTAGTACTGGAGTCTTTGCTTTTTTAACTTTTCCCCAGTTAGAAGTGGGGTGTTATGACCATCACGAAGCTGATTTGTGAGAAGGCGCATTTGCTTATGTTTTTAAAGCCATTTGTAGCAGAATCAAACAGGGACCAAGTGCATTCTTCATGATGAGTACTGCTTTATGATGGTAAACTTAATAATGAGGGATGGGCTCAGTAGTTCCTCTTTTGGGAGCCAATTTGGCTGATGCATGGTTGGAAGACTTTGTGACTGCAGCATAGGGCGATAATGTCACGATATACCTTTGAGTATATGAGTATAGTCAGGAAACAACACAAATGTGAAATGAGAGCTTAAAAGAAAAAGAAGTCTCCCTCTGAACCAACTGCATCCCTGCCTGCACTTGACTCATAACTCGGGAACCATATGCTTGTATTCCACTGACAATTGCCATTTAAATGTCAGTTTACAAGCAGATGTTGTGAACCCGCCTTTGTGCCATTAATTAAACCACAGAAAAGCAAAGTTTGAGGTTTAATGTTGCTTGGGTTAACTGCAATGAGGGCAGCAGGGTCCGGCAGACCTCGATGGGCCAGAGCAGCCAGGCTTTAGTGGCAGGGGCAAAGGAGCCTGTACACGAGGTCACCGCAGCAGCCTGGGTTAATGGGCTGTGGCAGCCAAAGCAGGCGGAGTGTTGGCATGGCCCAGTGACAATTATCATTCTGTAGACAATTCCAAGTTTTGTGGGATGGCTGGCGGTGGCCAGGACAGAGGGGAAATGTTGGACTATAAAAGGAGAGAGATTTAGGTGCTCAGGTGCAGGGAAAAAAAGACTAAAAGCCATGCAATAGAAGGAGCAAAATCTGGAAGGGTGGAGAAGGGAGCCCTCTCTACTCTACCAGACAATTGTATGTATTTAAAATCCTTCCCAATAAAGTTCATAATGAATTTAATTCAGTCCCCTATGGCCCAGAGGAATGTTGAGTAATAAAAAAGTATTGCTAGGGGACAGATGACTGCCAAACTCCTATTCTGTGCCAGCAATGCGTATTATTGGCACTTAAACGCTAGGTTTATTTTACTACATAAATGATCCTTTGTCACATATTAAGAATTAATATTGTAAGATCCACTTTTGTGAAGTTACAATAACAATTCCCAAATTCAAATAGTTGTTAAATTTGTATGCTTTATTTTTAAAGAGATCTGGGTGGGGGGGGCTGCAGTTTGTTCAGATTACATTAGTAGTTGAATGTGGTAATTCCTATTTTGGGTAAACTATCTTGTGGCTGGTTTATGCCTGAGTTGTTGTGGTTTTTTTGTTGTGGTTTTTTTTTTTAAATAATTTTAGTCAAGAATCTTTTAGCGTGGTTTTTTTGTTGTTGTTGTTTTTACCTTGACATATCAAGATCAATGTTAAATGAATTATAAGCTTGAACACTTACTTAAAAGTTGAGGTGTATTCACTTACACGTAGTCACCCACATAACATCGGGGCTCCTGGCTTCTGCTGGCATGGTCTAATGCACTTCTGATGATTAAACCGAGTGATTCAAACGTGTGTTGGAAATTTCAAGCACCACTGGTGGAGGTTGCTGGACCATAGCATTACTTTGTTTATAAACATCATTATTCCGTGGGAGATAAATCTCTGCTCTCATCTAGTGTGGCACTTCAGTGCAGTCGTGGGGAAAATGGAAAAAAAAAACTGAGCTACTAATTTTTTTCACTTTAATAAAGAGTGGAAGGGAAAGTTGGCTATGAGATGAAATGTGAACGAGTTTATTTCCTAGCAGGCAGCAAGCTCTAGGGAAAAATGCATCAGTACCGGTGTGAGATGCAGTTTGGGTTACATTCAAGCTAACATCAATGTTCTTTAAGCACCTTCTGCACATTACGGTACAACACAAACTTCTACAGCCTGTGTACAAGTTCAAATTGATGGCAGCAGTGATTCAGTCAAAATATTTAATATGCTAAGGTCTGAACATAAAGCGTTTCTAGTGATGCACTTGTTTACTTCATACCTCCGCATCAGGTGTGAACAGTTGGAAAAAAATATTGTGAATTTGTCAGCATGTTTATTTCCATGGTGCATCTTCTCAGAATCAAGAAGCGTTTTTGTTTTCAAGTGTAAAAATGAACAATTACTCATCCCTGGAAAACAACAAAGTTTACAGCCATCCCCTCTCACCCCACCAACCACTGACCTCACCGCACTGGCCAGGGCACAAACAGCTCATTTGTCACTTGCTGCGCACAATGAAATATTCCGTTTCCCAGAACAAAAGTGTCTGAAGAATATAAGGGTGAATCTTAAGTATTTGGCAGCTTGAACTAAAAAGAAAGGTCAGTGGCAAAGAATTCAGTTACAAGCAAAAAATCAGGCATCTTGGAGCATGGCATTGGAGCTTTCGAACTGAATGCACACATTGTTTGCTGCTGTGAAAAACTGAGCATTCATAATTTAGGAAACTATTAATCAGCGCGATGAAGCATTCTGTTTCTACCAAAGAGCAAAAAAATTACACTATAGAGCTTATTTTCTTTTCCCTGGAAAGAGATCATCTGGTAAAATGTGACAAGAATTCTGCAGCTCTGCGTCTTGTGAGTTTTGTGTTTAAGTTGCACAGGAGAAAAAGCCACAGTGGAGCAGCAGTTTCCTTCTGCTTCCTTCTTATAAGTCCTGTCCCAAGGCACTGCTCAGGGCTCTTTATTTTCTCTTGGTCCATGCCAGGACCACTGTGTCTGTATTTGTGATGCTGACAGCAGAGAAAAAAACCAGTGAGGGCTTGCAAACTGGCAGGACTCATACAAAATGCAGACCAGCCTGTGCCAGAGACACACGAGGCACTGAAAAACAAGGCAAGGCAGCAAGAGTAGGGCAGCCAAGCAGAGGGGCATGAGATTGTGTAGGGATGGGAATGAGAATAAAGAGACTGAGGAGAGTTGTGGTGGTTAAAGAACAGGAGATGGCAAAGGTAACTTCAGTTATCACTTGCCTACTGAGAACAGCCTGCCAGGGCTCTTCAGCTCGTGCTGTAAGTTTAAGATATGCTATGTACTCAGTCTACCAAAATTACTGTGATGTTAAGTGATTACAGAAGCAACTGATCAAAAAGACAGCTTTTATTTGGTATCTCAGTGATATCATAAATTTGTTAATTTATAGCTTTCATTAACAAAATTAGTCTTAAAAAAAAAAAAAGACATTTCATACCTTTTCTTTGCTTGGGGGAGGTGTAATGAACTTGGACATACCCTGTTTAAGTCCTAGCAGTTTCAAAGCTATGAAAAATCTTTCTTCTCTTTTCTGCCCCCCTTCCCCATTACGTCCATGTCTTCCCAGTAGTGAAGGATCATTTTCCTGGCTTGAAAAAAAAAAAAATCAGTGTGCACCGTTTCAGCGTTGTGTTTTTACAGTGATGAGGGCAACGGGGGCAATCTGACGTAGTCTAGACTGGTAAGAATTAAAATGCTTCTGTGCTCGTGTTGAGAAAGGAGGCTGGACATCGGGGATTAACAGCTAACAGAAGTCTACTGGAAGTGAAAGCTGCACCATCAGGATACTCTGTCTTGTGCCTCTGCAGCAGGGAAGCCAACCTGCAACTTCTGCCCCCTCTGTGTTCATATAAGGCACATTTCCTGCAAAAGAGGGAAAAAATTAAATTTAATTAAATTTCCACAAAGTGGAAACAGTAAAGTGGTGGCTGCGTTGTGTTTCAGAGGGAATGCCTGGTGGGGGGGAGCACTGAGAGGAATTATTTTGGGTACCTGGTTATTTCATGCATGATGTCAGGATTTCCAGCGCTTATGTGCACCAGAACCAGTGGATGCCAGCGAGGATTTGAGTGCCTTCCCCCTGCTCCACCTCCTGCCCAGCACAGCCTGCTCAGGGTCACCCCATACGTTTGCATCAGCACCGCAGCCCTGGTCCACAGAGGCAGAATGTTCAGACGTCCAACACTTAAGTCACCCCATTTTTTAATGCCATTAGTGATGCAGCAACATGTATTTATATTTACATATAAATACAAAATGGTCAAATACCACATTTTTTAAGCATAATATATAATCTGAAACTGTTTACACTTTCATGACTAGGCTTGGGTTTTTCTCATTTACATTCATAATTAAATTCCACTGGAATTTGATTTTTAAGAAAGCCCAACATACCTTAATTACCATAAAAAGATCCATACATATTTTACTTAAAAATATCTTCTGTACGAGGAAATTTACCAAAAATAACACGAAATATATTATTATGCATACATACTTTTTTTGTAAAGTACAAACAAGAATCTGATCTCTTCTGGGTATTGCCTGATCTAATATGGCTATAAGTTCTACTTATTTTGTTTGTTTTTCAAAGTAAAGGGAAAGACATAAGAAATGCCAGAACACAAACCAAAATAAAACCGCATTCTTTCCGAAGATACAGATATCAGTGAAAGAACACTTGGAAAACTAATAAATGACAATAGGTACAAAAAAACGCTATCCAAGCACTATGCCGTCTTTTATCAGAGCATGTGCTGCAATGACCTTGTAACAGTAAAAAACAACAAACAAAAAAATGCTACTGGCAGAAAAAGCTGTCAAGCAAAACATTGAAAAATCGGTACTATTTCCTAACAAGTACGTAAGTGCAGAACTGATGCTAAGTACTTTATGGTTTTTTTCCCATGTATGCACACTTCGCTCTTCCTTCTGTTCGCAGGACTGATTGTTGCGACCCTGGCAATATGTTGGATGCCAAACCAGGTCAGAAGGATCATGGCTGCTTCTAAGCCAAAGCAGGACTGGACTGTCTTATACTTCAGGGCGTACATCATTCTCCTTCCCTTCGCTGACATCTTCTTCTACCTCAGCTCGGTGGTGAACCCCCTCCTGTACAACATCTCCTCTCAGCAGTTCCGCAGCGTGTTTCTGCAGGTCCTGCGCTGCCACCTGACCATAGAGCATGCCAACAAGGAGAAGTTTCTCAGAGCCAACCTCAGCTCCAGAGAAAGGAGCAGACGGTCTCTACGCCCGCTGCTCTTCATTTCGTCTAGGCGCAATTCTTCTTCGAAGGGCAATAACAAGGTGTTCTTAAGTACTTTTCAGAGTGAGCCCAAGCCTGACTCCAGTCCACAGAAACCAGGTCTTGAACCACCAGAGTCCTGCTTGGAAGTAGTGTCACTGGAGACCAGCTCAGAGCCCCGTCCAGACGCACAAAACGGCCCTTGTGAACATGAAGTATGACTTCATAAGGCAAAGTTAATGATTAGCAATGAACTTAAAAACATGGAAATTAAAATGACTGAGGAATTGACTACATCTTAAAAGGAGTAACACAGATGGATTTGTTTCCAATTACGCATAAAGAACAGGAGTTCTGTATCCTGCTGCTGGGATTTTTAAGTGCACACTGGAAATTCAATCTGCTAACTGAATTCTTTAGCTGCCAAAAATATCAGCCCCTCTTTCCCCACAACCACTGAACTTCCCTTGCTGTTGACAGCAGTTTGGAAACAAAACAGAAAATAACTGCAGTGTCTTTGCAGAAAGGAGGAGACAGAACAAATTGTGTCAGGACAAAAAAGTTGCTTGAAGTTTAGCAATACAAAACCAACAGAGCCAATGTAAGGAGCAGAACGGTGGTTGCCACGTGTGCCCTCAGCACCACGCCAGAACTCCCCCTCTTCTTTGGCCGGGGTCCGTTGCAGAGCGGAGTGTTGCAGCAGCTGATACACACGGAGTTCACCTTCCCTGGAGAACAGAAGGACTGGTACCCGGCGGAGGCGATCAGACACGCTGCTGAAGAGGCGCAGGATTTGCGATACATGATTCCTGTGACACAGAGCAGAGGTTACTCAGGTCGATACCAACATGGCTTTGCTTTACAACACGGTTCATGCTTGAAAACTGCTGCAAAACCCGTTTCCATGTCCAAAGCAAGGCTGGTGATCAAGCCAGGCACCTCAGCGGTGACACAGCAAACAGCTCTGCACTGCAGAGAATCACAGCCACTCTGGATTTTGCGTTTAATTGATTCTGGTTGGAACCAAAAATTTTGCAAACTTGATTTACATAATGTACATCAAATGATGCCTTTTATAACCAGAATTCTTCGTCTTTCGGAATAAGCTTTTTGACTAGCTGTAACTGAAATGAAGTTAGTTTGAAAATGACTTTTGTTTCTGTTGCTGAACGTGTTTGAGCTGTTTAAGGTGTTTAAGTAATTACAGTTTTCTATGCTGTAATTTGGGTTTTGAGCATTTTTTTTCCCTTTTCTTGTTCAATTGCCACACAGTGACAAGCAACCAAGAGCAAAAGGAGAATGACTATCAGCAAAACTTTCATCCTCCCTTTTAATTTTTTAAGAGAAAAACTACAAGTACTTTTCCAGGTAATCTCAGTTCTTGCTGTCTTTGAAGCCTAATACTCTCAACAACAAAAATTTCCATTTGAACAGAAATGGGTTTTCTGAGTTGAAAGTCTTCCTTTTATTAATGTAATTTAATTTAATTTTAATTAATAATCTAATTAACTTTGTAATTTCTCACATTGTTTTTACCTGAAAAAGTATGTTCTGATGCACATATCTGTTATTTTAAAAAGGTTTTTAAAGGCTTTAAAATACATATTTGCATTTTCCCTGTCACAGTGGAAAAAGGCTGTAGCAGTTCTGTCTCTCATTACTCTAAAATTTTCCTGCATATGATACAGTAGAAACGGTGTGTTGGCAAAACACAGTCATAACACATAAACAGATAATGGAAGTTTGCTCATATTGCCATGCAGTTACCAAAAGAGGTAAATATTTCTAAGAATAATAAAAACATTATTCCTTTTCAATATGGCATTCTCAAGTTTTCTTTTTTCTTCTGAAGGGCATGGGGGCAGGACTGCCTGGAGAGCGGTGCTTCTGCGTCCTGCAGCACGGTCCCAGAATATTTTAAAATACACAGCTATTGAGACTTATTTTCGAGGGAGTGAAGCAAAAATATGACCTGTAGGTACTGAACTTGCGGTACCTGCAGACACTTGTTCAGGCCCCAGGGAGTTCAGAAATGAGCACTACAGCACCTACACAGCGCAGCAGATACCTCTGCAGTAGCGACTGCCGCTGTGTTACCAAATGCTGTGCATAGCAGCACAACACTGTTTGTTTGGGTTATGCTTAGAAAGAAGGATTTCCTGTCTTCAGAGACTTGTAATTAAAGCAATTCTTTTATACTGTCACAGCATTACTGCCATTGCAACAATGCAGGGGCTTCCCTGTTTTGTGCTTTCCCTCTGCAAATCTGAACTCTGAAATGTGCTTTAAGGCTATCTGTCTAGCTAAAGATAGAGAAGCCCTCACATTGGTGTTAAATCTTCCTCTGTCTCCAGTGAGCTTCAATCAACACAGCAGGTAGGGCCTTTTCTCAAGGAGGAAGAGGAGCAACAGGCTGTTGTAGCTGTAACAGCAGAGGCACACAGATCAAGAGGCACTATCTTTATTGCTGTAGTCTGCAAAAAGAAGGGAGCTCTGTCTCTGGTGACAAACCACTGCTGTCAAGGGGCCTCAACTGTGTTGCCACTGATCGGCTTAAATACTGAAACCTCAGCTGATGTTTCCCACAAAGACCTGGTGCTTTGTCTATCTTCCTCCTGCAGTCTTCCAAGAGCTGGGGCAGACATGACCTTTCCTGTGGCTGATTCACTTTTGTCCTTCCCCTTCCCTCTTGAGAAAGGAATCCCATATTCAGTGGAACTGGGCACAGCGATCGTTCTCCCACCTCTCATCCTGCATCTCTTCATCAGATTCCTTCCCTGCAGCTACAGGCACCGCCCAAACCCAGCCTGCCTCAGTCTTCCCTATGAATAGCAGTGAATCTCCACGTTCTTCTCACAGACCAAGCCTCTACAGAGCATTTGACATTGGCACATTTCCTATTCCTGTTTTTTCACAGATCACTCTCTTCCTGCCATTTCCTTTCCACGTGATTTCTGCAAAGCCATGTGCACAATTTGACCTAGTAAGTGTTTCATTAGTTTAGGTCCCTGAAACACCATATACTTTACAATTCTCCTGTAGATGAGGAGACTAGAATTGGTCAGTGCTGTGAACAACTCAGTAATGACCTCTGAGGCAGGGTTTTCACCAGGCAACTCCAGGAGACCTCTCCTACCAAAAAAAAACCCAAAGTCCTGCAGCTCAATTCCATGTGTTTACATCAGCTCTGTTCTCCACGATAAATTCCACAGAATAATCCTGAGCTCCTTTCAAAGGCAAAACAAAGTATTCCTGCACAGACGAAAATTTTACAACTCAAAGTTTCATGCACAGATGGACCACGTTCATGCCTAAATAGAGAGAATCATCTGACTAGTAGTAAAATCTCACTGTAACGCTTCTCCTGTGGCTTCTCTGTAAATATGTCTTACAACAGGAAATTCCACTCCCAAATGATCATTTATTCACATTCCCAATGCTAGCAATCTGAATTGTAACAAAATTCTTTACATAATTAAAAAAGTCAGCACTTCTATGAGGCTTTCAATAGCTACTTGGCTAAGACATGCCCTTCACATCCAAGTCATTTTTTCTTTAAGTACTGATAGATTCTTTTGAGCTCGCGAATCAGCTGCTGTCATACACTGACTGTGCTTCTTATGAAGCATCAGGTATGAACTAAACTTGACCAGCATAGAAAGGCTGTGCTTTTTCTCTAATTCTGCAGTATCCTTATAGCAAGATACAACGAAAAGAGGCATAGAAGACTGATGCAAAAACCTGAAAATGTTAGTACTACAGGAGCAACATTTTTAAAACACTTCAGCTGTGACCACATTTTTTTCTTCTTTTACCATGAGTGTGAAAAAGCAATGATAATTTAAATAGTATCAGTTAGAGAAAGACAGGAAAAATACTCTTAAACTTTCTTCCCATCATATTGCGATTCCAGTTTAATTGTGGTAGGAAATAATTATCACAGCTGACTTCCATGGTCTGATGCCAGGGACACTACTCCAGCAATCAGGTTATTGTAGCCCAGCTACTGCAGTTCCCCTGCTGAGTTCAGAGGAAGCAGCATCCTTTCTGGATTATCTCTGGAGATGAATTGCTTTTATATCTCAAGGATGCCTTTTCTCAGACTCCTCTCTTGCAGTGGTTTATTGTACTGTTGAGCCAGTTCTGAAACTATTTGTGAGATCTTCCTGAATCATCCCCCACCAGCAGGCTGAACTGCAGACAGTTCTTCAAAGTGGTTATCTGCCTCATAAGACTCATACCACAGACATAACTGCTAATTACTGGATATTCTTGCCTGAGTAATCAGCTTGATACATTCATTAACACATCACCTAGAAATATAATTGCAAACCTTTCTGGGAGCTTTTCTTCTACCTCAGATTGTTCTGAGTTGCTGGCTAGGCAAGCAGACTACACATTTTACACTCTGCTTTTACTGGGGTGGGGTCTTTCTCAGCTACATACTCCCAGCAGTTCACACTAGTGCTCAGCCAGTACAATCACTAACACACCTTTAGTCTATTTACTGCCCAGTCTCTAGATGGATGAATATCAACTAATTCATTCATTTCCACGCATTCAGCAGCCCCAGGACAGCAGCAGGGCTTATGCATATGCGTAGGTACTATAATGGTGTTTTACCTACTACTGACCAATTGGTCTTCCTTCGTTCTGGATTCAAGGTTTGTGGGGTTGGCTGAGGATGTAGTTCAAGTACTTTTTAGAATCACAGAATGGTTTAGATTGGAAGGGACCTTAAGGATCACCCAGTCCAACCCCTGCCATGGGCAGGGACACCTCCCACCAGCCCAGGCTGCTCAAAGCCCCGTCCAACCTGGCCTTGAACGCTTTCAGGGAGGGGGCATCCACAGCTTCCCTGGGCAACCTGTGCCAGTGCCTCACCACCCTCACAGTAAAGAATTTCTTCCTAACATCCAGTCTAAATCTACCCTCTCCAGTTTAAAGCCATTACCCCTTATCCTACCACTACCTGCCCTTGTAAAAAGTCCCTCCCCAGCTTTCTTGTAGGCCCCCCTTCAGGTACTGGAAAGTTGCAATAATTTCTCCCAGGAGCCTTCTCTTCTCCAGGCTGAACAACCCCAACTCTCTCAGCCTGTCTTCATAGGAAAGGTGCTCCAGCCCTGGGAGTACACAAGGCTAGAATATCTGTGATAATGCATAATCTTCTGCACTGTCTCCTTCCACATACACCTATTATAACTGCTGGGTTTTTTTGGGGGGGTTGTTTGTTATTGTTGTTTGTTTTAATACAAGCTTTGTGCTTAAGTTGGGCACTGAACATTTACTCCTAGACTGAATAATGAGCCCATTGTCGCACCTCTGTGTGTCCCACATGTGATCACACATTTGGATAGGGTCAACGCCTGAACTATTGTTTCTGCAGGACTTCTGCCTTTATTCCATGCAATGAAGCAACGAAGATGTAAATCTCAAGGCATTTCTTTAGTTCCTGCTTTTAATATTTACTTTCTCACCTAGATCCACTCTATACACACATCCCTCAACTGTGAAGCTCAACCTCACTGCTTAGCTGCAGTCTAGTCCTGTGCATCCACACCCTGGAACTGTTCTGGCCACATGCAGATTCATTCAGTCTTCACAGCAACAAACTATTCATGCTGCAATTTATTCAAATCCAAAAGTGAGAGTTCTTCTACCTACCTAGTCTGTAGAGCCTAGTACATGTTCTCTTGAATAACAGCTTAACTTGTTACTAGGACAACCAGAAAAGGTGAGATCACACCTGCTTCTTACACTGTGTGTATGCAGAAGAAGCCAGAAGATCCAAGTTTTTTCTCGTTCTGCT